GGGAGAACAAAAAGAAGAAGAATAATTGAATCCCATGAAACAGGTTGCAGTGAGCACAGAACATGTAGTCTGTTGCCTGAAAAATACAGCTTTTGAATGCTGACATTTTCAAATAAACACAAACCAAGGTCGGCATCAACATATCCTTTATGCATCCTGTACATAAAAGCATCAAACTACAAATTACAGTTTATAGCTAAATAATGGGTGAACCTAGGCCATAACTTATTTAGGATATGAGGCTTTGGCATGGAATAGGTTCCAAGTGACTATTCAAACAATTAGTAAAATTAATGAACATCAATCTGCTAAATTTGATTATCTTCTGTAATTTCAGAAAATTCCCCGATTTGGGCAGCCCAAAAGCAACCAATATTCAACTTATTTATACAAGCAATCTTGCATGTCTAAACATAGCACTTCAATTTTTTTGACAGTGCATAAACTTCTGAATCACTTTACTCTCTGTAAATGGCAACTTTAATGCAAAGTTGACATTAAAAACCTTCACAATTAGGCAACTAGCCTTTCTATAGGCATAACTAAGAAAAAAAACCATAATGGTAGTGAAATAGCAGAAAAGTACCTGGTTGTGCCGAAGGAAGTTGAATCAAACAAACTCAAGGATATTTTCATAATGATATCAATTAAGAATGTACACATCAATTTCATAAACAGTAATTAGAGCACAAGAATTTTTAATGTGGAAATCCTTGAAGATTGCTCTCCAAAGGGAAAACTACATGTAAACCCAAACAGTCAAATCCGCTAGGAATCAAGAGTTTGAGTCAAGATGAAAGAATTCACAAGCCCAGGCCCGGTTTACTTCAGTCAAAAAAGAAACCTTCCACAAAAGCTCCTCACTTTGCTCTCCATTGCTCTGATCTATGCTCCTTATCTCTGCTGCACAATGGCTAATGGATGGACATGCAATGCAGCTATGTGTGTGGATTTTGGAGTAGACAATCATGAAAACCACTAGATTCTTTTCTCAGAATTCTAGTTCATTGATTGAAAAAATAATGGATTTCAATAGAATGATGTAAAACCAAGTAAACCAAGATTTTCCCTCAAAATTCTGTGAAAAATCATGCAGGAGAAACTAGGTCAATATTTACAGAAAAATCAGAAGTTTAACCTAATTAAACCAAGTTTTGGCCGCCCACTCGAGTGCCCATTGGGCAGGATTCGACCACTAGCTACTAGTCTGCAATTCTGACATGTTGTGGAGGATGTTTTTTCTTATATAATGAAGATGAAAACACAGATAATTGCTACAAGAACACAAGCATCTCATGACACATATCTCATTAGAAATTAATCAAAATTGTTGCAAAATCATGTTATTATTAGCTATTCTGGCCTGTGAAACTGGTTTCTAGCTTACTTAGGTTAGGGCCTCAAGATGGTGCCCATCAAAAAATTATAATCAAGAAACAGAAAATGTAATAGTAACTTTGGATATAATTCAAGTTACTCTGCAACTACAGCAAGATCTCATGCTGTTGTCAATGAAAGGAGCAACTGGTTGGGAAGAAAATGTTGATATTGTCTTCCTAGAGAGAAAAAGAGCAGAGAACCCTATTATTAGTCATGTGCAAGATATATGAATCTTTGTGTTAACTAAATATTGGGTGGAAATAGGGGTTTGCAAACTGATGACATGTTCTTAATCATGTGTGCTGCAGCAACTGTATATTTTGAGTGTTCAAACTAGGGCTAGTTAGCTTGGACAACTTGTCATCTCCCTGCTCAAGTGATGGGTTGCTTTCTTTGTGGCTGTTGTGTTGTTAGAAAGATTCCCCTATTGTTTTGTATTATTGGCTAATTTCCTTTCATAATTTAATTTGCAAGTATAATGTCGAAAAACAGTTCAAAATTTTAGCCTAAAATGCCCATAAACATGATACATATCATTCTGTAAGCATAATTTTTGGTTTATTCAAGCCTACGTCAATGAACAAGTAGTTGTGCTTGATTTTTCTAGTCTTTTTCTTTTTTTTTTAACTTATAATGTGCAGTGTGAATAGTGAAAACAAGAACTGCAATATCACAAAGACAAACAAGTACCGACCGAATTAAACCCTGAATAAGATGTTCAAAAGTTACAACTATAAACCCAAAAAAACAAGAAACATGAAAGAAGGGGGGGGGGGTTGGTGGAGGGGGACACCAAATAAAGGAGCACAAGGAAAACAGAATTTCCTACCATACAGAGTTTCCTACCAAAATGGTATTGTATTGCAGACCTTGCAGGCAATACCATTTCATTTAATGAAAAACAGAGAAAACAGACAGTTTTCCAACAAGGTTTCTCAATCAAACTGTGAGACTCTAAATAAGATCAATGGCAGCTTACCAAAAACTTGTTTTGCACTCACACAATACTCAATAATCAAACTAGTTTTGGCAACACAGGCTATTTAGTTATGGTCAGCTCAGCATCCATCTCCTTTCGCTTCAAATCCAATTCCATGTGCATATTGTCAAGTTTCATCCTCTCATTTACGATCCTCATCATTTCGAACTCCCAGTTTCCTTTCCTGCAAAATTTTTGCCACTTGAACCTCTCTTTCTCCAGTTCCAACATCTGTGCTTGAATTTGTAGCTTCTGTTCTTCTAACTTAAGTGAACGATGTTTCAACATTTGATTCATATCAGCTTGAGCATTTTGTGGGAGAAAATTGAAAGTACAGTTTAAAGAATTCAAGGAATTCCCTAAACTAATATCTTCATGACCCTGGCATTGTTTCATCCTCTTTGCAGAGCCCTCATGCACCTCATATATTGCCCTGAAATCCCCACACACAGCGTAATTTTCCTCAAATTCATCATGATTATCAGTTTCTGCATCTTGATCACCCTCATCAAGATCATCTTGTAGGTGTTTGTTCTCATGATCATCTCTACCTTTGAGAGCCAACCGCAGCGAACGCTGCAATTCAGGATCATGGGGCAGATGCAGTCGGTTCCCATTATTGTAAGAGCACATCTCTTGGTAGAACAAATGTTTTGAGCTTAGGATTTTCTTAACCTCCTCCTTTGCTTTCTCTGATAAATAATCCATCATGTCCAACAGTTTTGGCCTCTCAACAACCTGGCAAGAAGTGCCCCTCCCAAGGATCTCATTAAGTCTCTTGTACCTTCTGTTGAGGTCACTGAATTTATCCTCAGACTGCTGAGGCGAAACATAATGACCCCTTTCAGCCATGACCTCAGAAACTAATTTCCATTTACCCTTTTTTTGTAAATTTGCATGTTTCCCCCTCATCCTCTTGCCATATTCAGTTGCAGAATCCTCACCTATGTAAGAGACAGCAGTAATCAAAAGCCTAACCATCTTATCAGTCCAATTCATGCGCTGCCATGGAATCCCTGTCTTCCCTCTATTTGCATCATTGTGACCATCAACAGCATCTTCCATAAAGCTTGGTTCATCCTCATCAGTTGCAGAAATTTTCCCCCTTTCTCCGTTAAGGGTATCTTCCAAAGAGATGGTCTGATCACAGTCTTGCATGCTTGACAGGGTAAGGGGAAAATTCTCATGAATCGATGGATGAACCATCGATCCCTGTCTAGGAAGAGAGTGATGCAGTTGGAGGGTAAGTGGGTGTTGTTGATGAGGAACTTGCATTGAACCTTGCAAGTCAAGGCCCCGGTTAGAACTACCGCCTGGAATCATATTCCCCGATGACAAATTGCCTTCCATTGCTTGCTAACAATGATAATTCAGATCACACCCAAGACCCAATTTCCCTCAAAACCCTAACCCAACAATAAATTTTCACTCTACAGACATCATCTCTCAAAATTCAGATCATACCCATGAACCTCTTCCCCTTAAAACCCTAACCCAACGACACTTTTTGCTCCATGGAAGCCATTTGTCATATAGTTCTATAGCACTACAACTCAGAAACAACCAAATACATTGCAAGTAATTGCTCCTAAAGCACTACTAGGTCCTTCTAGAGCTATCTAAATCATCAATTAAATACACTTTTCCATATAAAGTCAGATATATACCCACAATAAGAGAGTGAGAGAATCAACTAATAGATTGCCCAAATCCACACAATCAAAGCAACACAATTACCAAAATCACCTAAAATGAATGAATAAAATGTAACAAAAAATTAATAAATTGGGTTCATCAAACAGGAGCACAGCAACTTATATGGGTCAAAAAATAACACAGCCGAATACCCATAAAGCCACATAAGACTTGAGGGATATTTGGAATGATCTAAATAAGTATATTTTTTGATTTTTATGAAAATATGTACAGAAAAGTAAAGAGGTGATGTGACTCAAATAAGTGTACTTATATAGTGTACGCCAAATACTTGTATTTAAAATGAGAATTCGGTATCCAAAATATATTTAAACATATTTTAAAATAAATATATAAACATAGGCATAAAGAAAATGAAATATGTGAATCAAATTTATTTGAGTGTAATTCATATTATACTATATTTAAATTTATATTTTTACTTTTAATTTTTTTCTAAAATACATAGGGTATGTTTGGTTTGTGTTTGAGAGATGTGTTTTAGAGATAAAAAGTACGAAAAGTTGTTTGGTTTGGTTTTTTCAAAAGATGTTTTGGAAAATTATTTTGAGAGAGAGTTTTGGAAAAAGTGATGGATTTGATGTGTGTGAGAGAGAGATTTGTTTGGAAAACTTGTTTAGTTTACAAGTTTTGAGAAATTTTTTTGGGAAAAATTTTTTGGTTTCATTACTTTTAAAAACTTATTTGTAGAGAAAATTTCTCAAAAATTTTTCCGAAATTCAAACCAAACGAACCCATAACGTTTTTTAATATTGATAAAAATACGTATATAATAGGCTTTACGTTACAAGTAATTGCTCCTAAAGCACTACTAGGTCCTTCTAGAGCTATCTAAATCATCAATTAAATACACTTTTCCATATAAAGTCAGATATATACCCACAATAAGAGAGTGAGAGAATCAACTAATAGATTGCCCAAATCCACACAATCAAAGCAACACAATTACCAAAATCACATAAAATGAATGAATAAAATGTAACAAAAAATTAATAAATTGGGTTCATCAAACAGGAGCACAGCAACTTATATGGGCCAAAAAATAACACAACCGAATACCCATAAAGCCACATAAGACTTGAGGGATATTTGGAATGATGTAAATAAGTATATTTTTTGATTTTTATGAAAATATGTACAGAAAAGTAAATAGGTGATGTGACCCAAATAAGTGCACTTATATAGTGTACGCCAAATACTTGTATTTAAAATGAGAATTCGGTATCCAAAATATATTTAAACATATTTTAAAATAAATATATAAACATAGGCATAAAGAAAATGAAATATGTGAATCAAATTTATTTGAGTATAATTCATATTATACTATATTTAAATTTATATTTTTACTTTTAATTTTTTTCTAAAATACATAACGTTTTTTAATATTGATAAAAATACATATATAATAGGCTTTACGTTACAAGTAATTGCTCCTAAAGCACTACTAGGTCCTTCTAGAGCTATCTAAATCATCAATTAAATACACTTTTCCATATAAAGTCATATATATACCCACAATAAGAGAGTGAGAGAATCAACTAATAGATTGCCCAAATCCACACAATCAAAGCAACACAATTACCAAAATCACCTAAAATGAAAGAATAAAATGTAACAAAAAATTAATAAATTGGGTTCATCAAACAGGAGCACAGCAACTTATATGGGTCAAAAAATAACACAGCCGAATACCCATAAAGCCACATAAGACTTGAGGGATATTTGGAATGATCTAAATAAGTATACTTTTTTATTTTTATGAAAATATGTACAGAAAAGTAAAGAGGTGATGTGACCCAAACAAGTGCACTTATATAGTGTACGCCAAATACTTGTATTTAAAATGAGAATTCGGTATCCAAAATATATTTAAACATATTTTAAAATAAATATATAAACATAGGCATAAAGAAAATGAAATATGTGAATCAAATTTATTTGAGTGTAATTCATATTATACTATATTTATATTTATATTTTTACTTTTAATTTTTTTCTGAAATACATAATGGTTTTTAATATTGATAAAAATACATATATAATAGGCTTTACCTTTTTTTCAATTTTTTTTGATTGGCGAAAGTCAGCGGTTAGTTATTAGATTAGCACCCTGGGGGAGGTGAAACTCACACCCATACGCCTTGCAAGAAAATCTTACTCTCTCATTCCACTCTTAAGAGTGGAACCCAAGACCTCTCCCTTAAAAGAGACCTGGTGGCCAAAGGGGTAGCCAACTAGGGTAGAGCCCCTTGGTTTACCTTTTTTTCAATTGATTTGAAATAAATTAATAACATAGGCATAAACGGGGATGAATTGTGAATAATTCGTGGGCCAACCATTATTTTATTTTATTTTATTTTTTTATTGTCACTGTGGTGTCCGAATCAAAACCCGACCAATCTCCATGGATGCATAGGCTCTTAGTAGGGAGTTTCCCATAAGTATACCATGGTTAATTCAAAGGTTTTCCCCCAATTCAAGGACCCCAATGAATTGTTAGTACCTAAAAAGTTTCAATCCTGAACCTTGGAGGGAGCACACCCCCAAGATCCAAAGCCTTGCAACCAGGCCAACCTCTTGGGGTTCTCATGGGCCAACCATTATTACTACTAGTTATAAATATTTTAAAACTATATAAGTTCTCTCTAATATATTTTTTGAAAATTTAATATTCTTTCCTAAAATTATTTTGAAATTTTTAAGATTTTATTTATCATGTTATTTTTAGGTGCAATTAATTTTTTAGGTGCAATTTATTTATCATGGTAAATTTTTTAAATTTACCACAAAAAATTAAAAATAAATAAATTTGAGAAATTTGTCTAATTTGTGACCCATTATCTTTTTGTCTCTAACGTCCATGCTCTCTTTTTTTTGGTTGAGGCCCATTTTTTTGCTGACTGTTTGCTTATTTGTATACGTGAAAGAAATGAGAATAATTTCATTTCCTATCTTTGCATACTAAGAGAGTTAAAAGACACCAAAAGAAATAAGGCTGAAAAACACATACTTGATTCTATTGGGAGATCAAATTATACAAAACTTTATATTTGGATGACACAAACCTCGAGAGAAAATTAGAATATGATTCCAAATCTCTATGATTTTAGTATTTAGAATGAACTGAAACAAGAAAGTGATTCATGATTACCAAATCAAGCAGGAATTACTGTCCCTCCCACTCCCCTATGAGAATATCACATTTCCAGAGAAATATATAAAAATAAATAAAAATAAAAATAAAAATCAGATAATTCCACAATATTTAAAATTTATTATTTCACATAAGGAATTCATAATGAAACCAAATGTTTAAATAGTAACTAACAGTGACTAGTGTGATGCGCGGCTTGTAAGATTTGATACTAATGATAGTCATAATAAACATTATTTATTTGATTTAAACTGCAATAATATACATTAATTTTTTATTTAAATTCAGTTATAAAAAAATAAAAATAAAAAAGTCTCTAGATTTATATTTCATTAATATTTTTTTTTCAAACTTATTACGAATTTTAAAAACATATGCAAATTTCCTGATTTGGATTCCAATCTCCTAGATATCAATACCAGTAACTCTCTCTATCTGTCTCACTCTAAAAATCCTCTTGTTACCAATCAGTCCCTTACGGAAAAATTACAAAACTAAAATAAAATCATAATTCTTTTGTGTGTGTTTTTTATGTCAGACACTTGAAATTCACATTACCTACCAAAATCAAAAGTTAGGAGATACATTTTAACATACAACCTGTAGAAATCCACATATCCAGTGGCAAAGGAATAAGGAATTAATCAATATGAGAAACATGTATTCATCCACAAATAAAGATATATATATATATATATTATAGTTTACCCAGAAGAGGAAAACAGTTTACAAACATATATACTTTGTGTTCAATGGCAATCAATAAGTAACTTTCATATTTCTTTTAAAGATTTGCTATATATATCACTGGTTTATTTATTATTCACCTGGGTTCTAATAATTTTTTTAAATATGATAAGTCATATTGATACATGTACACATAAAAAGTGATAAAATTTGGTAAAATACAACAAATAGTATTTCACTTTCTGTTGTTATTAAACTTTGTTCTATCCAAATTTATTTTCAATTGTGCAATCAAGCATAGAAAGATGACAAAGAAAAAAACACAAAATTGATCAGAAATTGTGAAAACGACACACGTACATGAACCCTTGTAAGCATGCCTCCTGATCAGTCATTGCCTTCTCGTCGATCAACAAATGTGGACTCTGCCAACATGTAAAGTTCACCAATTGAATACATCAAGACCCACAGTCCTTCGAAGCCGACTCGATTCGAGGGACTTCGAGAACAGCAGCAATGAACAAAGGTTGGTGGGTTTTCACGGCGAGAGAGATTGAAAATTGCATAACACGGTGTTAGGGTTTTGGTGGGGGGAGAGAGAGAGAGAGAGAGAGAGAGATAGAGAGAGAGAAACAAAAACAACAGAACTAAAGTCTCTTGTTAGCTGAAACTAGGATTCTAGGAGCATTAAAAATTTGAACTGCGTTTAAAATTTTACCATTGACTTGGCTTAAAATCTATTGTGAAGAGATTTGACGTGTTAAAATGCATATAAACAATTCTTGCTATAAATTTTGATTTGGAGCGTTAAAGTACCAAGAAATTACTGCTTTAATCTTTCTACAAGATTAAAAAGACCAATGAGGACTCATAATGCTATATGTCTCAAATTTTGTACCAAATAAATGACCAAATATCTCACACACAACCCATATGAGACATTTAATTATTTATTTGGTAGAAAATTTAATATCTCTAGTATTATCCTTTTTCATAAATATATTTCACTTAAATTAATTAATTTTAAAAATTTTATTAAAAAAATTACTAAAGACAAAAATGTCTCATAACAAAAAAATTAAAATTATTTGTGATTTTTTAAGGAAGAATTATTGAACAGTAAAGCAAAAGAAAAAAAATTACAAAAACATAGTACCCCCACAAATTCTCACTTTCAACTCACCATAAAATTACTTGCACACTCTATGTGTTTATAAATTATTATTTTTTACTTTCCACTGGACAATAATTTTTAAAAATTTTCTATTACAAACTTTTCCTAGTATAAAATTCTTACTTTATCTCCATTTATGACTTCTTTTAACTCTAATCATAATCTTACACACGATCTCCATCACCTCTCCATGTCCGTCCTCTTTAAACAATCCTTCTAACCTCTCCAACCCATCCTTGTCACCCTTGTTCTTCCTCCTTCCCTTCTAACATCTGCACCATGTCCCTAACATTTCACCATTGCAAACTACAACTGTTGTTGTTCTCTTCATTCTTGTTCTTCTGTTTTTTTCTTATTTTTCATCTTACATAAACTCTAAATCTCCTTCAAACATAGATCTAGATATGG